AAACAAAATGGAAATGCAAATATTCATGATGATGGAAACAGAAGACCCAAATCTAGGGCAGTGTAACAGAAGAGTAAACATGTATGACAGGCTCTATAGTCCAAAGAACATTTTAAAGTATGTTTGTGATGCACCTTTTTCCTCTGCCAAGGTTTCTTGTAGAACAGATGATCTTATTTCAAGATTACAAGTGCTTCTGTAAGACATACGTTTTCCTCCTGTGTTTTTTTTTTTTTGTTTCGTTATTTTAATTAAGTCAGACAATCCTATTTTTGCAGGATAGAGGATTCCACATACTACTGAGAAAGAGGAATAAACTTTACTGAGGAGAAGTACCTCCAGCTGCCACAAATAGGGAGGGAGGAGACAACTGCTACTGCTTGGAAACTGTTTGTGCAACTGCACAAACTAAGAATCCAGCAGGCAGACAGATGGATTAACTGCTGGTGGGAAACAGCCCACCTACCCCTCACGAGGCAGAAAAATAGCACTGGGAAACAAAGCAGGAGAACCAGGGCTCATGGCTGGGTTTTTTTCTGAAAATCTTCCTACACACTTGTTCCTTTGTCTTTCACCATATATTTCAAGCTGATTTTAAAAACTGTTAAGAGGTCAATTGAAAAACTAGTAACAATCAAGATCCATCTCTATTTTACCAATTACTTTATCAAACTTCAACTTTAAATACATTATTCTTTTTCCAAAAAGAGCACAGTCAGCATTTCAGCAGTCTATATCCATAAAAATAAAAAATAAAAATATCAGCACATACATCAGAAAAAAATCAGAAGAGCAAAATATTACTAATATGCTCCATTTTACCAAAAAATTTAATTCTTTCATGGTGTTGTAAGTCATTACTAAGGCTAGCTAAAGTTTACAGCATGGAGGTAAAATTAAAACTCACCTCTTTGTTTTCCTCAGCATCTCCATGAACCCAAACCGTAGCTTCAAGATAATTCTCCCTGTTTGCTCTGTAAGTTCCTTGGAGGTAAATACCAGATTTTATTCCTTGCTGCAATTTGCTAAGAGGAATATGTTCTGGGAATATGATTTTTCCACCTTCTATTTCTTTCTTTAGGAAAAAAGAAAAATAGGAGAGGAAACTTTCAGTATTTTATATGCATGTTAATTTCAAAACTGAGCTCGGGAACTCAACATACTCAAGCTAACAAACTCCCTAATTGTAACTGTGTGTAGGTACGAATATGCACAATAATGAAAAACTATTATTAAGCAGTACTTTTTCTAATGAAGCATGAAAAGCATAAAAATGTGGTAATTCTAGGAACTTTTCTTGTTTTCCTGCAGTTACTTAAAAACATACTGCACAATTTTATGTTGATTTGGATGTAATGACTAAACAGACGCTTAACAAAGAAAATATTAGCGTAGTAAAGAGTATGGCACACAGTATATATACTGTAAGCTACAGGAAACATTATGAAAATACATTACTGTGACCAAACTTTGGAGCAGTATGACAATTGCTTACACCTGAATGATCTACAATTAAGTGCTAAGAATACCTGAGCCCTCCACTTTCTTCCCACTCTTGCATAGAGCTCTATTCTGTTAAAACTAACTCTGGTGAAATTAACTTTTCCATTTTTGTGGTGAGTGTTCAGCTATATCAGTTGCATGTGAACTTGTAAGTCTTGATTCTGATAAACATAAAGCACAAGGAGGTAGAAGAGGATGTGGCACATCTTTGAGCTGCAGCCTGCATTTATGTCAACTTAACTAATCACGAAATGAAAATGCTTTTGATCAATAACTTAACATAGATTTTCCAGCAGATATGAAACAAAGATCTAAACGGTTTGCAATATATTTTGTTTTCATTTTGTTCCAACTGTTTCTCATTAATACACTTTATTTAAGCAATTGTTTTTATTCTTATCTGCACAATATTCGTAAGTTGTGTAAAGCAACCGGCTTTTTACAGATAACAAGATACATACTAACAGGCATATAAGCAGAACTGAAAATGGTTGCAATATTTCCTTTATACTTTTCAGTTGTCAAAAAGTTAAATTGCCAAAATGGTAATAAAGTCCAGACTCCTTGTATTCTAAAATGATGCCAGTGCCCTGATACACAGTATGCAACATTATACTGCAAGCCATTTGAGATCAATTTATTTTATGAAAAGAAAAGAAAAACATACCCCTTCATCAGATACACAAGCAAGACGATCTACAAGCTCAGGATTAGCTGCCAAGCTTTTTATATACTCCTCACCTACAAAAGCACACACATAAATATTATGCAAGATATGCATGGGATTTAGGTATGAAGTGACTGCTCAGTATATTTGAGCAATAAATTAAACATACATACTACTTCACTTACATGTATAAGCAGTTATTCCTTCCTCCAGAGCTTTCTCTTTATTAGTTCTGTCATTTGTTAAAAAGATAACTTGAATCTTTTCCTCATCCTCTATTTTCTTCAAGTGTTCATTGTACCATTTCACTGCTACCCGAATGGCTCTGTCATTGCGGTCGTTGGAAGTTTCTCCCCGCTTCTGCTCTATGTACGTTTCTCTAAATAAATTTTTAAAATAAAAGGGGGTGTTTGACAAACCAAAATGAATTCCAGCATCTACGTACATTTAACATTTTCAGACAAACAAGATCAAAGCTGTTAAGAATCATTCTTATACCCATTTTTATAACGTGTAACAGTCATTAGGCCACTGAAGGGCCAGAAGACATGGATAAAGGAAAATAGGAAGGAAGTGTTAATTTCTAACACAACTTTCTCACAGACAATTGAAGAGGTTTGCATTAAGCTGCTAAAACTATGGATTCAAGATTCCTAGAACTATGATACTGAAGTACTGGAAACTAATTGTAAGCACAAATAAAGGCAAAATAATTGCCAATAATTTCTATTTGTTAGAGCTTTTTGTCACTAACTTAACGGATTATTGAATTCTGCTACAGACTAAGCTTACAATATTGATAAAGTATTGGAATATGTTCAAAAGGGACACTAAAATGGAAAATCAGTACCCTATTACTCAAGATAACAATGCTGTCTGTAAAGCTTACTCAATATTCTAACCCCTTTTCATAGCATATATAGATTTATGCTAACTAGAAGCAAAAACGCTCCTGGAACACCAACTACTTCCCAACAGGATTCCTTAGAAATATATAGTTGTATGACACTAGTCCACATGTTCCAGTTTTGTTCCCACTTTCTCTTACTGGATATCAGCACAACTTTGTTATACCCCATTCCACCTCTTACCTGTGATGCTCATTGGTGAAAGAATAGAAATGTTTTTCTGGGTTTTGAATCACGTCCCTAATACGTTTGTACACTGGCGCACTCCGATGCCTGACTTCTTGTAGGACTGTCTGCAGCACGATGACATTCTTAATAACAGGATCTTCAAGGATATCAATCTGAGGAACAAAATGGAAATTAATCAAAATCGTTATCTAATTCTATCTAATAACAGGACTTGAAATGTTTCCTTGACTACTACATAAAAAGCTAACATGAATAATGAGAGGCACTCCTTCTGCCTTTTTCTCTCATCACTGAGAAACTGAACAGTGTATTAAGTTGCTTTCCCCTCCTTGAAGGAAAAAAGGTCAAATAGGATTTTTCAGCCTCTCTGTGACCTGAATTGAAGATAAGGACTTATTCTGACTTCTAACAAATGAATCTCCAGTGTGTGCAGGATTCCAAACAAATGCAAGGCCGAGTGTACGTTACCAATTTTTCTTACATTAAATGGGTTCCTATTAAAATCTACCCTTAGTAAATAAAATGCAACTATGCACAATCTGACAGAAATATGATCTCATTTACAGCCTGTCTGCCTTTGTGAGTAATGCAAACCATAAAATGGTACCCAACCACTCTTACACATCTGACTTGCCTATGCACGTGTAGGCTTGAGTTCTCCAGAAACAATCCCACTCTTAAACTAAAATTTTAATTTCCATGGAGTCGAATCAATGGGCATTCTGCGAGCTGCTCTTTCCTTTTGAAAGATCCTTTTCTTTTTTAAGGAATTTTGTTAAAATTTTTCAGCACTTTTCTTTGCCAACTCCTGACATCAAGACAGAGAAATATACACCAGAAATCCATGCAATCTTTTGGGAGAAAAAGATGGAAGCGTCACTTCATAACCTTGTCGCAAGAATTTGTGAAAACCCACCTGCAAAATGAGACAGCAGTAAGGCTCTAGAGAGCATAGCTAAAAGAATTAAAAGCAACACCAGACCAAACTCCTGTGAATCTGATGTTTACATGACCTGAGAGATTTAGAGCCATGTTCACAAGGGAAGAAATCCAGCATTATTCTATGCATAAGCCGAGGTACTAGGCCAAGTCTTACTGTGGCAAAACAGTTTCAGTTTGCAGTGCTCACCTGGTGCAGGAGCAGGTTGGTGTCGGGCAGCAGGAAGTGCGGCCCGGGGCAGAGGCTGCTGGCGGCGCCGCTGGGCCGCGCCTCCAGCCCGGGCGCGCTCCCGCTGCCGCTGCCGGGCGCGGGCGCGGCGGGGGTGCAGAGGCGGCACGCGGCGGCGCCGCACGCGATGTCGTCGCGCAGGTAATGCTCGCGCACCACCTTCACGACCGCGCCCGCCCGCGTGCGCTTCACGAACGTCCGCGAGGTCAGCATGGCGCGGGGCCGGCGGGAAGCGGCGCGGGAAGCCGCAAGCGGGAAGCGGCGCGGGAAGCGGGACGGGAAGCGGGACGGGCGCAGGAAGCGGCGCCCTGGTCGCCGCGATGATGGCGTAGCGCGCGGCCCCGCCCCCGGCGCGCTAAGGGGCGGCGGAAGCGCGCGCGGGTTGTCGCCGGTGCCCGAGGTGTGTGGGGCAGACCCCAGGACTGACCTGACCCGACCCGGCCCGGTCAAAGCCGCTACCCCCCAACTCCCGCTGCTGCCGAGTTACCGCTGAGCATCTCTGCGGGACGAACAGTGTCCCCTTTTCCCGAGCTGCCCCCGGCTGCTGTGGGGAAGGAAGGCGGTGGTGGCCGCCCCGGAGGGCAGCGCGGCTCCGAGCGCGGCATCCCCTTGCCCTGCTGGGCTCTGAGCAGCGCCGTCTGTAAGTAGCAGCCGTGGTCTGTGCCAGGCGCTTGTAAAAGCCCGTGTGGCTGCTGGATTAACCAGCCTGGCAAAGAACAGTGCAGCTGCTGCTGCTGCTGAGAAGGCAAAGGGGGCAGCAAGGCTTGAAAGGAGCTTGTAGCCAGGTCGGGGCCGGGCTCTTCTCCCAGGCACCTAGGCACAGGATAAGAGGACAAAGCCTCAAGTTGCACCAGAGGAGTTTAAGGTTGGACATTAGGTGGATTTTCTAAACTGAAAAGGTGATGAGGCATTGGAATGCGCTGCCAAGGGGGCAAGTGGAGTCATCATCGCTGGAAGTGCTTAAGGAAAGACTGAATATGGCATTAAATGCCATGGTGTAGTTGACGAGGGGATATTCAGTCGTAGGTTGGACACGGCGATCTCGGAGGTCTTTGCCAACCTATGTGATTCTGTGATCAAAGTATTCTTCCAATAAGTCGTGTTATGCCTCTTATAGGGCGCTGTATATGCCTCGTGGGTCTCGGGAGTTTTCGGTGCATGTGCTTTTGGCATCGTGTATATCTTTATTTAACTATAGCGTCATACTAGTAAGCTAGATTCACGCTGATGATCACACTGGTGAGCTTATTGTAGTCAAAACGCTTGATAATGATTGTTCGGGAAGAGGGTCCTCAGCCGGCAGCCCTCCAGAGTCTCTCAAAGTGTTTTTCTTGGGTAAAAAAAAGGTTCACGTGATACTGAGAAGTATCACTTGCTTGTAGTGGTTAGTTTTTCATAATGAAAACTCATAATTTCATTTAATTGTTTTGATTCTTGCAGTCGATTCTTCAGGGGGCTCATCTCAAAGTGCAGCTTAAAAAAACTTTGCGAATAGGGGAAGAAAATGTCACATAAAAGCTCTAAAGTAATCAAGAAAGTAAACATTTCTAGCTCCTTGGAATCTGAGGATATCAGCTTGGAAACCACAGTACCAACTGATGATGTTTCTTCCTCTGAAGAGAGAGAAGGTGCTGTAAAAATCACTAAGCAGCTGATTGAACGGAAGGAGTTGCTCCATAATCTTCAGCTTCTTAAAATAGAATTATCGCAGAAAAACTTGATGATTGACAACTTGAAAGTTGAATATTTGACCAAGGTGAGTAGTGTTTATCCTTTCATTATATAATTTTTTCTTGGTTTTGGTGCTTTTAGAGTATGATAGAAACTTCTGTTCTGAAAATAATTTTTTTGAATTACATGATGGAGATCTTCTTAGTTGGATTGGAGGTTGTCTTGGTCTGTTTTGTTTGTGTTCTTTAATGAGAAGGAGGGGAAACAAAGATACGGAAAACTTAGCTGACTTGTTCAAGTCATTTTACTTATAAATAAGCAAGGGAGGATCTAGTTAATTTTGCCTTTCCTAAATACAAAGAGAAAACACCTATTTTCTTCCCGAAATGAAAAATAATTTTGTCACTCATGTTAGTAGCATAATAGGGCTTTGAACCTGAACTTGTGGAGTATTAGAAAAGCTGATCTGAATACTCTTCAATGCTTTGTTAATGGAGATAGGGATAGAATATACCAACATGTTAACAGTAGATTTGGTGTGTACAATTTACATGAAGATGTATGAAATTAAGAAAGGTGTAAAAACATTGCCACATGTGTGCAGTGTATTTTTACAACATACTATATGCTAACTGGTTTTTATTGGCTTTCTGTCCTGAGTTTAAGCATAACGTAAAAGTAGTTGAGCAAACAGATATTTGGCTGAAAAAGACCCATTTAAGAACTAAATATTTTTTTATTTTTAGCTCATTGGGACAAAGTCTGTATCATTCTGTGAAGCCCTAGTGTATTTAGAGGCCTTGTTAGACAGCCATTTTTGCGCTGTCCAGAGCACTAGGGTCTTAATAATTTTATTTGAACTTGTTGTTTTTGTAAAATATTTTTCAAAAATTAATGGTAATTTATCGTAACTTATTTTGTTTCTTTATATTTAGATTGAGGAGCTAGAGGAGAAGCTTAATGATGCAACCCATCAAAAGCAGCTGTTGTCTTTACGACTGGATAGTCAGTTGGCATTACAGCAAGAAGATGCCAGGTATGATGGAAGTAAAATTAAGAACTTCATCTTTAACAAATTTGTGAATTAATTTGAATTTGTGTAAATAAGTTATTAACAGAAACAGATAATTATTAATTCCAGGAAAAGAAATTGCAAAATTTATTTTATGGATTATATTAGTGTTTTCATTCTAAAAATTGAATTTGCGTATTTAATTTACATGTAAGTAAATTTGAATTCAACTCTCACTGACTGAAATTTGTGGTTTGGTTTTATGTTACCTGAATTCGAAATTTAGTAGGAAGAGGTAGTAAAAGTTCTGAAAACCAGTAAAGAGCAAAAGGACTAGGCAGAGGTGACAGAATTTCCATCAATTTAAACAGAATTTTTAATAACTGCAGCATAGAAGATTTGGGAAAGGGTAAGTGCATAATGTTTAGCTTTTCCAATTAGTACTTCTTATTTGTCAGAAATGCTTTCAGTTGATGATGTAGAAACTCACTTTCCATGTTGTTTTTCTGAAATATTTGGAGTTAACATGAAAAATAGACTGGCTAGCAGGCTTCTCCAAACCACTTTGCCAATTGAGTATCTCCACACCTTTGAAGAAAGACCATTACTTACATTGTCTCATGTTAAAGTAGAGCTTATGGGATGTGACTACTCCCAAGTCTTATTATGCAGTAGGGCTAGAACAGGTTTAGGGATGTGGAGCCAGACCTGAGATGTGTTCCAGCAAAGTCTTTCAGCTGAGAGCAGCTTATTGTCAGGAGAACGTTTGTCACTGTGTGTGCTGAGATGCACCATGCTGGCCATGCTTGAGTTATCTAGGAAGTGCTCAGTAAAAAAGTGCTGATGTGCAAACTGTTATTAATAGGCGTAAAAAAGTTAAACTACTTTTCCCAATCATTTTATTAGTTTTCTTGTCAGTCTTTTACTCCACTTTTCATCCTCATGTAATACAATTGTACACACCATGGAGTGTGTCCTTGTGTGACTGCTTTGCTTACCTCAGACATCCTGTTATCTGTGCCCTACCTGTGGCGTAGATGTTGCCTTGTAGTGCTAATTAGCATTTTTTATTGCTTTTTAAGTAATGCAGAAATGACCATGTTTTAAACAGTAATTTGAATATGTTTTCAAGAGTTGCAGCTAAAAAATAATTTTAAAAAAGTAGGTTAGTTGTCTTTGATTTAAATAAAATACTTCTAAATGCCATTTACTGATGTGCAGTTTCTCTTGCTGTATAAAACCTTATCACTGATCATAATAGTAGTGATGGTGTTATAAGGCTGCTTGTTCTATTGTAGAAGTGGTTGGTTTGTTGCTGTTTGGTTTTTTTTTCATAAAGGACTCCACCTTTGTATCTTACAGTGGTTAGAAAAGTAAGGGTTGGTGTGACTGTGCATGTGCTGAAATGTGGTAGGACCCAAGTTGAAGTAATTTACCAGCTTCTTTGGGATTTGTGTGGAAATAGATTCTGCTTTTTTCATGTTTTTAACCTTTTAATTGGTAAATTAAGTTTCGTTCATAAATTTAAGTCAGCATATGTGGAGATTGTCTGTACTCAGATTCAGCTTTGTATTGTCAATAACTATGAAGTTCCTGGCATTTTACATATACTGTATCTGATATGACTGTTTAACCATGGCACTAATTACGTATTCTTTGTAAACTTTTCCCTCTACAAAAGGAGCAGAACTCACTGCTTTGCCGAAGTATTGTGAAGCTTTGTCATTTGTGCTACTCACTACTTGATACCTTCTGTTTTCAAATCCATCTTAAAGGAAACATCAAGCTCTAATGAAGCAAGAAATGGAAACTATTTTATTGAGACAGAAGCAACTGGAGGAAACAAATCATCAGTTGAGAGAGAGGGCTGGAGATATCCGTCGTAGCTTGCGAGACTTGGAATTAACAGATGAATGCTATGAGAAGCTAAAGTCTCTTCCTGAAGATCAGCTTTCTATTCCTGAATATGTTTCAGTAAGTATTGGATTTTGTGCTGTTTTAAAATATGACCTATATCTTGGGTCTGGCTGGGATAGAGTTGACTTTCTTCATAGCAGTCTGAATCTTTCTGTGCTTTGCACTGGTGGCTAAAACAGTGTTTTGGCTATTGCTGGACAGTGCTTGCAAGCATCAAGGCTTTCTTTTTTCCCCATTCTGCCTTCCCCTGCCCCAGCAAGCTATGAATGGTCATGAGATTGATAGGGGACACGGCTGGACAGCTGACCTAAATTGGCCAAAGGAATATTCCATACCATAAAATGTCATACACAGCAGCATAAATAGGAGGTAGAGGAAGAAAGAGGAGGTGGGGATTGATAGCTTCCTAAGGTGGTTATTACTCAGGGACGGCTGGGGATCAGTTTTGATCAGTTTCCGCAGTTTCTGGGAGGTGGTTTTCTTTTTCACTTTTTAAGGTCACCTCTCTTTCCTTCACTAATTGTTCAGAAAACTTGACACCTGAGTTTTCTTGCTTTTTTTCGTTCTTCTCACTTTCTCCTCTCTCTGCTCCCAGGGGAGGCAGCACATGGGTGACCAGCTATATAGGCTGCTGGGCAGGCTCAACCCATCACAAGCTATAAATTATGGTGGGTTGTGGCTTTTTTCATCTCTAACTAGAAATAAAAGACCTTCAGAGGCAGATGTGTTCCTGATCAGTCTGTTGTGACTGGGTTCCAGTAAAGAGAGGAGCCTTTTAATCCCTGATTCTGTCATCTTGAAAGATAGTAGAACTGCTGATGTATTTTAAGGAGGTTAAGCAGATGGGATGTTACAATTAAAATGTGACCACACGTTGATGATATGAAATACAGCAGGCTGAAAAAAGGAATTTGAAACTTGATTTACCAGAACCACCAGCTGGGATTGCTCTTGCAAACATCCCTTATTTTTCTGTTATGCTTTCCATATGCCCTTTTCCTATTTGACTAAATGCAGGAGACAAAGTGTACCGTAAAGTGTACTCTAAAATTAATTTTCTTAATTTAAGATATTTGTTAATTTTGGCTTGTGGGTATGTGGACAGGCCACAGTATACTCTTGTTTGCAGTAAAAAGCCTGTGGGACGTGTCCAGAGCATTACAGCTTAATTATGAGAATGAAGAAGATTTAGACGTATAAGCCTAAATTCATTAAAATATTAGCATTGTACTTGTCTATAGAGCTTGTTATTAAGGAAGCTATAATGATACAATGTTAAAAACCTTAATGCATTTGTTGAGGTATAAATGCAACATGAAGGAATTTTCCAGATCAAAGTCATGCTTTACTGTGCTCTAGATATGTACAGAAAAGTAAAAATTGTCATCCTTATCTAAAGGATGTTCTTGTGAGCATCTTTTTAAAAGCTGGGCTTTTGAAAGTGCTAGGAATGTCGTAAGGCTCTGTGAGATGAACAAGAACATGTAACTTGGGTGGTATTAGGTTATCACCCCCATAGCTGTCTGCTATACCCACTGCCCTCTGCAAAAGTATTTGATGGAGTTTTGTTGATTCCTGCATCACCATGGTTTAAAAACCCAGATTTTTAGCAGAAACTTAAATCCGTGTCAGTATATCTACTGAAATTGACGTGCAGGAAGTTCAGGACTTCAGGAATTGATTTACAGTCAGTACAAAAGACTGTCGCAGGGTAGATACCAGGAGTTAGTAACCTTGTCAGCTGCTTTAAGTGAAGCTGTTGCAGCACAGTTTAGATTTAATTTGTGAGTGGAAAATGGCTGTCAAAAAGATGTGAAGTAGGAGAGATGAGTAGCAACCATCTTCTACCCTTAACCTTCTGTTCTTTTGCTCTTGTGTTCAACCAGTAAATCTTACTTTGATCTGTGACAAAAACACCTCTACTTAAATGTTCAGTGAAGCTCCTTTCTTTTTCATGCATTACTTTTGAAGAAGTAATTTTTAGACCTGTTCTTTTTCTAGATAAGGCATTCTAAAGATGTATTGTAGTAAAGTGCTGTTTCCTGCTATTTTCAAATTGTTTTAGCAGAGGATTGGTGTGAACCTAAAGGTATCAGTTAAGCTTGGTGGTTGTTTAGCATTACTTTGAGTTAGGCAGCTGATATTGTTCCTGGGAGGATACAGAACTGTTTTGCACATCCTGTCTTTGCATCCATTTGGCCTCCAAAGGCTGAGGAAAGGACTTTGAAGGGAATGCTGCTTCCTGCTCTGCTTGCCTAAGGAGAAATTGTGCATTTCTGGGCAGTTAAAATTTCTGACTCCAGATCTCTTTGCAGACTATAATATAGCCCGTTGATATTAGGGTAAAATTTTCCTTATCAAGAAAGGGTCCTGCTTAGTCAACTTGAGCAAGAAATTTTCAGACTCCTTTTTTCCGTTTATCAGTTACAAAGTACTGCCTTGCAATTCTCCAGGATGGAAGTAAACATCTGTATAATGCTTAGAGTTTATTTGAAACCTGGTGTACTGGACAAACAGCAGGAAGAACTTAGATGCAGATTTTGAATATAGAGATACTGTAAGTTTAAAACACAGGAACTAAAGCAAATGTGAGATGTGTTTCACTGTTCTTCCACAAAGGGGTGCAATAGTGACATGTTAGAACAAACCCTAGGTAATGTTTAATGCTAATGATGACAAGTGAAAAATTGTATTTTACACATCTTTCTCTTAAAATCATACTTCTTTGTTTTGAACTTATATGTAAAAATTCAGATTTTTGTTTAGTAATTTCTAAGATGTTTTTAGAAACAGTATATGTGAAATTTGAAAGTACTTCAGGCTGCTAAATGATTTAGCTGCCAAGAACCAGTTCAGTTTGTTCAGTAAAGTGAACCTCTTGTATACTCCACTGTAAAAAATTTTTCAGCAATTTAAAAAAAAAATGGTATCTGCAGGTTCTGTTTGAACTGATTTTAATTGCCATGTCTTTCAGGTATATAATTTTGCTAACTGCAGCTCAGTCACTGTTTGTTTAAGAAGGCAGTTAACTGATGCAACTGCTTTCACATAACTTTATTTAACAGAAGCCAACTTTTTCAGCTTCTTCACCCACCCATTTTTACTTAGTTCTAGTTTTGCATAAAGAATGGTGGGCACAGGCTAAGCCTTTTTTAAAAATCGCCTAGAATGTGGTAACTGTTTACAGCACGTAAATATGTATTTGTGATTTTTAAGGTACACAGTTGTTTCTGAAATCGCTTTTAGAGTAAGTTTTGTTTCTGCTGTATTGAATTCGCAAGAGGCTGTGCATGCTTTGACTGCTGAGTTACATGAATGTTTATTGGCTATCAAACCAAATAGCTATATCAAATAGAAACAACAGTTGAACTGCTGTAACCTCACCCTCATCTGCTGCATTCATTTGGACTTTCTTATTACCATGCAATGATCTTTTCTTGGGAAGGCTGTGCAAATACATTTATCCTTGATACCTGTATCCCATATAATCTTAGTTTCTACTGGGAAATCTATTTTAAGGTTGTTGTGTTTTGGGAAATAATTGTGGTGTGATAGCACAAGTTTTCTAGGTTTCCTAGGGATATTGCAGTAAAAATACAAGAACTTACTGGAGAAGCAGGTGTGGTTTTAGAAAAAATCACAATGCTTTAAATGGTTATCAATTACTGATAATCAAGGTTTCTTTTTCTTAAGAAATGACCAATTGAATCATCAGATGCTATAGTTAAAAATACTAATCTTTCAGACGTGTTGCACGCTTGCCTTAATGTATAAAGTATACTGCACCTGTGTTTACATTGCAAATTTCCGTGGCTTCTGTGTTTTTTAGAACTGTATGCTGTCAATTATATGAAATATACCTGGAACTTTTCTTTGTCTTCTGCTGTTTACAGGCAGCAAAACAGAGATCTTTCTTCCTTCTGCATGGAAGTGCTGTACAGCTTGCTCTTGAATGCTTACTTAATCTGTGCTTTCTTGTCTGTATTTCTTCTTTAATCATATATCAAAGAAAGCATTAGGGATGGAAGGTATGCAATAGCTTTTGCATGAAAACAGTGCCTACTTATTTATTCTTTTCACACACACCCCCAAATGCAACTTTTTAAGGTATCGAGTTAATCTGGGAATAATAACCTCTGTGTACGTGTATGTGGGTGTGTATCAAAAAAGCTCTTTCTTCTTTGTTTTGTCTCTTTGTTTTTTAATACTGACTTTGTGGTTTTACTACTGTGTTTTTTAGTCTTTTTTTTCTTGATCAGAAGAAAAGTTCTGAAAAACTTTTATGGATGTGAGACTTACTTGCCTGAGACAATGCCTATGACTAGCGTGGGGGGAGAGAGAGGAGTATGTGTTACAGATTTTAAATTTTTTTAGTCCTGTTAGAAGGCTGGATTTTTTTGGTGTTAATTTAGCAGAATCAAGTCTTTTGGAGCCTTAGTTTCCTGATGCAATTGAATCCATATACCAGCATGTTACTGCTGAAGATGTGGATGGAGGGGGTGTCATGGTTTTTCCTGGTTTTGTGCTGTTCCTGCTCCCTGTGCTTGCTCTTGCATTTTTCTTGGTGCATATTCAGCACACTGAGCTGGCAGAAGACAAAACAAAACAAATCTTTCCATTTCTACACACCCCATAAAATTTTATATTGGCTTGGGGTAAGTTAGCAAGTTGCATTGGTTATTACTAAGTAGGTTTTTGGTTTCTTTGGGGTTGTGTTTGGTTTTGAGGGATTTTTTTTCTCTTTTTGCACTGTTAATCAAATGGACTCTAGGTTTGGCACAAGGAAGTGCATGGGGCCATGTGTCTATTAGCAACTGAATTTTTTGATTGGTCAGCCTGAGTGGGATCTGCCTTTTTTGTACAGCAATATAATCTTTACTGCATGCTTAGAAAGACTTTGGTAAATTATTGTCATAAAATATTGAGCTGATGTGTTTTCTAGTTTGTAGTTGCAATTTTGCTAGTTTCAACTTTGATATCTGTCTTGTTCTTCTAGATCCGATTCTATGAAGTGGTCCATTCCTTAAGAAGAGAGCTAAGTGATCTACAGATGAAAAAGGAGAGTCTAACAGAAGAACTAAGTGGGTACAGATCCCAGCTGAAGTGTCTGGCAGAGGTCTGTGCTCCTTAATTACCTCAGTTCAGAAACTCTGAATACATGTGTACATATGTATTTTCTGAATACATATGTATTCTGAAAATCTCATTCTCTAAAACATTATTCGTGTATAACATATAAAAGCCTTTTTTGCTGTATAAAAATCCAGGTTTCAGGGTGGTCTCTTTACAGCTGTGTTATGCTTTCTGAGGGCAAGATTTGAAGGTGAGAGATCTGCCCAGCAGCAGCTGAAGACACCATGGTGGTTCAGTGCATAGTTTTTGAGATGGGGATGTCTTGGTAGTAGTTTGCTTCAGTTTTTGTTTTAATGTTATAAAAATACATTTTTTAAAGTCCTTTGGAATTGCATCTTCTCTGTTATGCTTTTCTACTCTTTGTATTTTAATTTTCCTGTTTGTTTCTATATAAAGAAAAAGGTAATTTGATTTCAGGTAAGGTATAAATATAAACACCAGAAGTAGAGAAATAAATTATACAAATATTTTTAACTTTTATTTGTAAAGAGCTAAGGAATTGAAACAGTATAAAGAGCATGTTTTTTCTAATGTATTTGCCAATATTTACATTATTCTTGGCATGTATATAGCTAGGGTGACTTGTATTTTAGTTTAGTTCTGCATAAACCTGGAATTGGGACAACAGTTTCAGATACTCAAAGTGCATTTATCCAGGCCATGGCTAGTACAGACTTGAATGACACTGTCATTTTACTGCTTCTGAGTATATGTCTTAGTTATTGCCTTTTTTCCCTGTGAATTTGCTCACAGAATAATCAGGTGTAAGGAAAAATTCTTTATACAGAGTTTATCTTTTGAAATTCATATACTTTCATTTCTCATTCTGATTGAATTAGATAAAGTAGTCAATAAAATTTATGCATTTATGTGCTTCAGCATTATTTTATGTCACCATCTCTGGTCGTAATTGAGATTAAACTAATCCTGTTAGTTTTTGTCTTGCATAAGCATTTTCCTTCATTGTACATTTAATGTGCTTTGATTTAATAAAATTGTACAGGAGGATTTCAGCCTTTGAGATTTGACCAACAAAAATTAACATTTGCTGAAGCAAATTAACAAGATAGTCGATAACAATAATTAAAGTTGTGCTAGAAACAGTTTTCTTGGGACATTGACCTTTCTTTGATATAGACTTCTAATTTTGTTCTTTTTGCACCACACGGTGGCAGTATCCACCTTTCCCACTGATCTGTTTCTCAAAGTTCGAAGTGCGCTGTGCTTTTCTTTTACGGAGAGGCTTAAGCGTCTCTGTGTTTTGATTCTGGCAAGTTCAAGTTTTACCTTGTGACTCGCTGAGTGTCACTGTAACACTGTAACAGGGTACCTCAGAAAATAAGGCGAGAGGCACATCATCAGGATCTGAGAGTACTTTAGAATCTCTAATGTGCTTGGTGCACAGGAGTTGACATACCTATTCATCTCTTGTAGTTTATGAAAAAGTGATTTCAAGGTGTACTTCAGGGGTAACTTTTTTGAGCTCTTCACTAAGGCCAAGCTTTTTTGCAAGGAAATTTATCAGTAGGAAATAAAGTTTGGTTCAGAGCCTTACCTAAGGTCTTACACTTTTCTGCTGGATTTTTTTTTTGTATTCCAGTAGTTCTTGTTTTTCCAGGTACATGAAATATAGTTGCTGAAGTTTCTTGCCTGTTATTTAATATTTTATGATCTGCAAATCCTCCTTTTCGGTTTCCATCCAGTATTCTGTAAATTTTAAGTTTTCTCTAATCATTGCAATATTTCTGTTCTTTGTGTAATTTATAAACAAACTCTATTCTGAGATTAAAACTTCTTTAGGAAACTAGTAATACAGAAGTTTGAAATACAGTCATCACTGAAGTTAAGACAATTGTTTTTTGGGTTTTTTCTTTTTTCTTTTGTGAGAATAAGCTACTTCCTACAGTAAGCATTCTTTCTTTTTTCTACCCTTGCAGATAATTAAGGCTCTTCTTAATGAGTTTCCACATGGGTTTCTTCCTTCTTTTTGGGACATAGAAAGGAACAAAAAAATATGCTTAGGCCAAATCTTGGGGGAGGAGGATTTTGTTGGCTTTTCTGGTTGTTTGTGGCTGGCAGACTAGATTTGAGCAGGTTTTATACTCGTATGTATTCACCCTGAAATAAAGTAGTAAAAAATATGAGACAATTTGTTCTAGACTCATAGGAAAGATTATCTAGCCAACCAAGAATTGAAAAAGTTTAAAGGAGAATTTGAACTTGTCTTAATAGGTTGTCAACTTTAGTAAAATTTAAGTGTGAAATGAATTCATCAAATAAGACAACCATTCTGACTACAAAACTGTAAACTTCTCTTGTGCAGCTGCTCTTAGCTCTTAAAAGCTGCTGAATCTGTACCACAGATCTGGTAGGGTAGGGAGCTGTTTCTGACAACTGGTAGCAGAAAATGGCTTGTGAAGACTGATTTCTAGCACTGGAACGTGATCTGATAAAACGTATTTGTTCTGCTGCTTTCTGTTTTTAAAGTGGTCAGTGTAAGTGGTTGTGCCTTATAGATAAATTAGTGGCTCTTTGTACACAATTGTTGCATCTGTGATTTAGATCAGTGCAGTTCCTCTGGTTCCAGGTACAGCAGCCACAGAACGGGGGGAGGTGGTGGAACTGGTGAAAGCCATGTTCTTGTACTGCTGACTGACTTGTTACTAAATGTATGGTACAGGCTTGTTTTAGTCCTCCTTTTACAGTGCTCAATACTTCAGGTATAAATAACGTTGGCACCACCAGCTTTGGAGGTAAAGATAGAGGAGGAAGTCCAACTATAGTGGTGCATTACTGGGAGCTTCCCAGAAATAAAACCAGCTTCTGATGTGTGCATTCCCATGCTGAACATCAGTTTACTATTTTCAGAGTTGTTTGTTTCCAAAGTGGTTAGAACCTTCCCTCAAACAGATGTAATTTACTACTAGTGGGTTTCTCTCCAGGCTGGGAGAGTGTCTGGGAAGGAAATCTTGCTTTTCTTTGTACCTCCAGTAGATTAAGTATTGCTTTCTTCTTCTGGCTGGGAGTTTCTTGGCAATGTTTTCTTGGAATTTGGTATTGATACGGTTTTATCAGGGCTCCCTTTTCTTCAGTTATTTTTTATATAAAGTTGCCTTCAGGATTTGCAATAAAATTTATAGCATGAGAGTATCTGAAAGCTGTGGTTATCCTAAAGACAAAGCTGGTTATGTGTATGACAAAGATCTTTTCTAAGACTTCATCTCTGAATCAGGATTAGTAGCTGTCAGGTTTTGCTAGACATAACTAACAATTTTCCATGTGATAATGTTTTCCAGCTGGAGGGAAAACACATCTATAGTCTTCAAAGAATGAACTAAGCTTTTGTACTCCAAGGATCACTTGGCACTAGATGTGACTGAATATTAGAAAACGAGGCTGTTGTTGCTACTCCAAGAGGACTGGAGTCCCTAAGATTTCTCCTAAAGTTTGCATATCTGTAAAGACTGTACTCTGGAACCTTTCCCCAGTCCCCTGACACACTTCTTTCAAGCAGTGCCTTGATTGTTTGGTCTCCACAATTCTCTTTAGACAGATGAGGTCTTGGTCTTAGGTGAAATATGTGCATATATTTTTTTTTGCTGTTGTTAATACTGTTCAGGAGAACAGCTGCAAAGATGATACTCTACCAGTAACTGTGAGCTTGAGGCAGCAGTTTAATATTCACAAGACTTAAGGAAATTTCATATCTATGAAAGTTCCCTTTTCTATCCAATACCTTTCTGCTCTTTCGATACATAGCTATGGCTGCATGGACTGCTAGCTGTGGTTCAAAAGTATGAGATGGTTTAATTATACTGCTCTGTAATGATCTCAAGGATCCTTTTCACCTGGGGATATTTCACTGAAAATTCTAGTAAGCTCAGATCCAGAGACATAAACTTACTATTCTTCCACTTCCTTTTGCTATAGAAGCACTTATTCCAAAGCTGTTCTTTCATATGTTCCTTGCAGAGTTTCTCTGCTTTGGAGTAGCTCAGCATTTTTGTTTATAATTTTTACTGGCAAGTAGTGATCTATTCAGATTACCAATTTCATATCTACAAGCAGAGTACCAATTTCATAGCACGTTACTAAAGAGGTATCTTATTTATCCAATTATGTGTAGCTTCTTCCTGACATTTGGGCAGTTGCATTCCAATAAATAATGTATTGACCAGTAATTTTTGAGTGCAGAGTATGTAAAACATCAAATGTCATCTTTACAAAGAAGCAGCACCTCAATCAAATAACTGGAGGGAATTGTTTTCACTTCACAATAGTTCAGTAACTTTACATTTGTTTAGGGCCTTTAGGATATGAACACATGCTGGCTTTTGTAAGTGATTCTTCAAAGATGAAGATCTTTGAAAAAAAAAGCAGGATCACTTTCTTTCACAGGCTTATCTCTAGATGGTGTAAAGAAATCGTGCTGCATCTGCTTGATTGGCTGATTAGTCTATTCCCTGCATTTCTGTTTTATCTTCTTATCTCCAAAGGCTTTTTGAAACATCAGCTAATCCCTATCATGTATTACATGTCACAAACTTAGTTCAAAAATATGTCACCTGGATTTTGCACTTGAAATTCAGATAGGTGTTTATTTCCGTGACTGCTATAAACTGCTGCTCATTCTAGATTGAGGATAGCAGTGAAGATTAATATCATTAAACTGAGGTCTGCCATTAGATCTTTAGTTTCTCTATCAGTTTGGGGTTTTAAGTGTTGCAGATCAGGCAAACTGAGAATATTCTTGCTTGAAACATCATCTGCGGGCAGTGTTTGTAAACCAAACGAAAGCACTTCTTAGCTGATGCCCTGTAGAAACCACCTATACTGGCTCATACTGGTTTTATTAGGCAGCTCTGTCAAGAATTTATTTAGGCATTGGTTACCTATCTGTCTCACATAGGACAAGTTCCATTTTTCACTTGTCTTAACCATCTCATCAGTCAGTTTATGCTCTCTGCAGAAGCAAAAATTAGTAAGAGGCTGAAGAAAAGCCATGAGGTGTTTGGAGTATTATGGCCAACACATTTAGTGTAAGGAAGTTCTGTTTGTCTTTTAATTATTTTAAGGTTTGTGGGCTTACTTAAGCTAATATTATTTATTGGCATTATTTCCAGGACCTCATTTCCGTCCTTGTAAGAGATCTGTATCTTGATTCTTCTAAAAGCCCCCTTTTTGCTGTAGCAGGACAAAGCTGTTCATCAAGATATTCTAACTATGTTTTGAAGATAAATGGAAAGATAAAGCTGTTCCATTGCAGAGATCTTAAAATCAGTTCAACGTTTATGGACATTGTTAGAAACTAAATTAATTTCATCACATGCAAACCAAGGATTCTTCTGCCTAAGCACAGGCAGCTTGGTTGTATGTCTTCAAAATGTATTGCTGTGGAAGTCCAGAAGCTTGTGTCTGTGCTACCTGGAGATGTGCATACCACATAGGGGGTTTTGTGTGTTAGCCTATTTACACCCTAGACACTGGGTATCAGCTTGCTTTGTCGTGTTTCTTCATATGTTTAAAATACTACTTTGACACCTTAAGAATAGGTAGGTGAAAATCAGTGTCCTGTGCAGTATAATTACTGTTTCTTCAGGAATTATATTAAATCTTAAAAAACCAAACATGCCAAACCCCTCTTAAAGTAGGTCTTAGTATCACTTTTCCAGAGCAGAATTTAACTTTCATTCCCTGGAATTGCCACATTGTTACATGACATTAATAACTGATTTATTAAATACAATTCAAAAGTAAGCTTAGGTCGCAGATATTAGAAGCTGATTTTGCAGATACTTAGCTATTCTGTTAATTGGTGCTTTAATTGGTGTTGTCTGTGACAACTTTTTCCAGAGGTTAACCAATTTAATTTTACACTTCTGGTAGTTGTCTTCTAGCTGCCAAATAGATAAAAGTGTAGGAGCTTCAGTAGCCCACTCAATGAAGGGTGTGTGAATTCCAGCATGGTATTAGCAGCAGAATAGCGTGGGATATCCACAGAATTGTATTCTGAACTTAATCTTTCAATTTGCACTTAAAAGTTAAGTGCCCTTACCAACATTTCCTGTTGCAAGATGAGTCATGTTTGCACTGCATAACAGGGTACTTGCACCAGTATGTTACATATTTGAAACTTCAGCTAACTTGTGCACAGCACCTTTGAAAAGTATGTGACAGGGACTACTGTTATAATAATGTCATCTTTATAAATAATGACATGTAAATTGATTAAAGAAGAGAATGTTTTATAGTTTACCTTAAATAATGGATATACATTAAGCAAACATATACCATATATACCAGTATGCGTTAGGATGAATAACAGTCATTTCTTTACGTGATGTATTTTTAATGGTAGACCATGCAGAATCCTCTTAAAAACTTTCTTGGTGTTGTGATTTTTGTGATTTGTGACCTAAAATGGCTTTAATAAAAGTGAAGATAAGTAGGTATGTGAAATATAAAACAATTCTTTTTTATCAACAGAATAGTTACAGTATATTACAGGCTAGTAGATTAGGGAGCTTTTCTGTATTGTCTTACAAGTATATAGGTGTGTCTTTTCAGGAAGGCATTCTATCAGTCTTTCAGCTCAGCTGATGATGTCAGTGAAGTTTATCACTGTCCTTCTGGCTTATACTTGGTATATGCTGTTGCCCTAAACTTTCCTTGTATATTACAAACTAGCTAGACAGTTATCTTCCTATAACTGTATAAAGCATAGCTTTCAGCAATGTTGAAAAATTTATGCACTCATACAGTGTCTCTTACTGCAAAATAAATGTAATTTGCAGATGCTAAATGCTTGGTTTAGTAATGACATCTTAAGGCTGTGCTCACCTTCACTTAATAATATTGTGATGTCCATTCATAATAACCAGATGGAATAATTGTTTACCAAGCATCCGTTATTGAGCTTGCCATCAATCACAGCAGTAAAAAACTGAACACAGCAGTATCCTGGGAAGTAGGATATGGAAAAAATCTAGATGCCCAGAGGTATTCTCAAATTTTTAAAGAGCAACTCTTTTTGTAGTCCATCAGCTTTACCTTGTGTTAGTGAATGAGCATTATTATTTTGGTTGTTCTTGTGAATAAATTGCTAAGTAGTACAATATTTAGGACAAGTAGGTAAGGTAAGTTTGTGAAAATAGTACCTAATACGTAATAGAAAATAGTGCCTAGTATGTAATAGAAAACTGGAAAATGGTGTCTGGATTGGGGATTAAGGTGTAAAAGTTGGCTGTTCCTGTAGAGAGTTGGAGGGAATGAGTATGATTAGGAAATCTGTTCATCTTCAAGAATACCTAGTATTTTTTTAATATTAATACTCTCTGTATGTTCTCTTGCTTTGCTTTTGTTGTTTTAGTTTCCAGGATAATCTGTAAAAGTATGTGAGGAGGAAAAAGAAGGGAAAGTGGAAATTAATGCTGATGGACCATTAAGTTAACTTTTTTATTTTGTCTTTTCTTCCACCAAAGTTTCCCATGATATGACTCAGCAAACATAGGTTGCCAGATACAATAGCTACAATTTGGGAGTAACTGGCTGAAATCTTTCAGATAATGACAGATGTTGCTAAACTTGATGAACAGACCACTTTCTTTTTTTTTTTTCAAATTAACTAACAAGTATCTTCTCAACTATCTTCACTTGTTTGAAACTGTTGTAAAGTTGGTGTGACTTTGGTGCTCCTAGTATAGGTTCGCAGACCACTAGCTGTGTATATGGGGGTTACTGGTCTTGGAAGTTGTGCTAATGGACAAATGCATTGGAAAATATAGGTACATTTAATCAAGTATTTGTAATTAGATGAGTACTGATATAGCTAGTTACTTTGTGATGTGCTAGATTTCCAAATACTGAGACAAATTAAAGCATTACGACCTGAATATTCATAAGAGGTTTTCACAAAACTTAGTTGGTGATTACTTTAAGTAGATATCAGTGCAGGTGTGATAATTTCAAAATGTCTCACTTCCTAGAGCTATGAAGATGAGAGGAGGAGTCGGTCAGAGCTTGAGGTCAGATGCCAGCGTTTAACACTGGAACTGGCTGATACTAAGCAGTTGATTCAGCAGGGTGATTACAGACAACAGAACTATGATAAAGTAAAATGGTAAGTATTTCTATAATTCAAGTGTTTAACTAACATACAAATGTTAATAAAGATTAGCCTTGATTGACCAGACTTCTTAGTTTTGACTTATGCACACCACAGATACCATTCCTTACTTCATACACTAATGGGTCAATTACCTCCTTTGGTATATTGCAGACATAAAATGAACAACATTCTGAAAACCAGTGTATCAAATTATCTTCCTAAAAGTTTTTATTTTCAGATTTACTGTGTTTTCAGGAGTGCCTAGCAGTCTCATTGCAGCTAAGGAAGTGGGAGCTGTTGATGGCAAGCATCTTGGAACAAGTACTCTTTTTTTATTCATAGTTTAAAAGCAATGATCTAACAAAAGGCCCTATGCTCTACTCTGTGCTGCTTACAGAATGAGTTAGGAGGGCAGGACCTTGGGAATTAATATTTACAACTTAAGATATCCTTGAAACCATAAATTTGAAAGGGCTATTATGAGAACTCTGGCAGATAATCTTAGGATTACCTTAGTGAATTGGTTTAACTGCAGAAAGTTCCAGTGTCTAGCTTTTTTAAAATACAGATTGTGCTGTTATAGCCAATGTTTTGAATATCTGTCTTGCAAAAAGCAATTGCAAAATAGTGAAAATGGACTTCTTATAAATATACTCATAGATGTATGCTTCACAGTCCAGCTTCCAAATAGCTTTTTCAGTGTGCTCTCAAGTACAAGAAATCTGGTCTTTGCTGCATTTGTTGAGAAATGGATTCAAAAACGGGGATTATGAATAGAAAAGACCCTGTCAGCTCCTTAGTTGTTCATATGGAATGAACTCGGGCGTAGTTACTGACACAAATGACTTTGCCCAGTAAATCATTTGAAGGGGAATCTGTCTTCTGGATTCACAGCATTTTTGCTTTGCAGCTATATGTACAAAACTTTAGAATCTGTCTGGCATCTTGTTGCAAGTAGGATGGACTGGTGCTATGGTTTGCTTCCTATGTGCGACTGCATCTTAATAAGTGGATTGTAATAACTTTCATGTGAATGGCCCCAGTGTTTAACAGTGAGCATTTAAAATAGTCTTGAGCTGAGAAAGGCATGAATGAACGTGCCAAAACTGTGTTTGAGAGAGTAGGTTGTATTCAGCTGGGTAAGCATAGACGAAGGGGAGGGGAGAGCTCTGTTGGCATAACTGCAGGAGGATACTTGGGAGCACTGCAGGAGTAAATCACTTCCAGACTTGTTTCTGCCTTTAAAAAACACTATGTCAAATCTAGTTCTGCAATACTATCAGTTATCTCAATTTTAAAGGGATGCTATGCTTAATATAATATTAGTTAGCTTTTTTCTAAACTGCAAGCTCATACTGGCTCATTCATTTCACTGTTCTGACAGGCTGAGAGTGGAGACACAGCGATGCTTCTTTGAGCATGCAGAAAGCACTTTTGCTTAGGATGCCAGCACAGGTTTTGCAGCTGTGTCATGTATATTTTAAACATGACAACCCATTCTCATATCAAGGCTGTATGCAGGGGAGATTGCCTCTGAGGAAAGTATATATTGCTTTCTGCTTTGTTAGGAAGATGGAAATGAAGTTGCTTCACTTTTTCATTGTATTTCCATGTCTGCAGAAGATTCAAGAGAATGTCATGGGATATAGCATCAGAAGCTTGATAAAGCTAAAACAATGGATAAGGGTACTTACAGAGCATTGCTAAGAGAAGAAATTTATAGCCCAAAGTTACGCTAAAGAAGAGTAAACAGAGGTGAATGAAATAATTTAGGATGGGAGTTTGAGTATGTAGAACTACTTTTGTTTCTGAGTATTTAAATAGTCCTCCATTGTTTCATGTAAAATGATACTGTTGCAGGTGTTAACAACTATAAGAGGTTAAGATTATGACCAGTTTCTCTGAGAGTGACCAGTTGGAAGAAGTCAGTGTAATGAACTGGAAGAAGGCTGAGGAGTTAAACAGGCACAGGAGCTTTGTTCATTTCACTTTACGCATCTAATAGTTTAACTTTGCTTTCACAGTGAACGTGATGTATTTGAGCATGAATTGTCAGAACTCAGAAGAAACTATGAAATACTGGAGGTGTCATACAAGGCACAAATGAAAGAAAGAAATGACTTAGCAAAAGAGGTAAACATAAATACCTTAGTAATTGTGTATTTCTTCATCTTGGGAATTTGATTCTTTGTCTAATCAAGTTTGTCAGGATCATGGAATAATTTAATTAGAATGGTCCCAAGAGACCAGCTGCTCCAACCCACCCACGCAGGACAGAGCAAGATTAGGTCAAGTTGCTTAGGGCTTTGTCAAGTTTTTAATGTCTCCAACAATTGAGATTCCACAGCCTCTTGGACAATCTGTTCCAGTGTTTGTCTGCCCTCTTGAGAAGATGCATTTGTAAAAACTAATCGGTTGTTACAGCTTTTTTTCTGTTGCATCTTGTCCTGTCACTATGTACGGCCAAGAATTGTTGGATTTGGATAGGTGAAGATAACAATAGTATTTTCCCCAGCTAGATTTCTCTTCTGAAGGCTGAAAAAAGTTCCAAGTATTTCTCTTAACCCCTTGTGCATTATATGCCGCAGTTCATGACCATCTTGGTAGAGTTCTTCTGGTCCTACTTCAATATATTAATGCATGTCTTTAGGACATGCATGTCATGGGAGATAGCACTCCAAATATAGTCTCGCAAGTGTGGAACACAGGGTAATAATTTTCTTTAACCCACTGGATGGACTGTTGCTAATATAGCCTTGTAGCCACTTGATCTTCTTTGCTGTCAGGGCACATTTCTGTCCCATGTTCAGTTTGTTCAACTGATGTTTGTCTGATCTGTATTTTGCCAGTTTTTCCATATAGCTGTTACGGGAGGTGGCTGAAAGTAAATTAGATGGACAGTGGTCCCCTCCTCCACAGACCTAACTTTTTTGTCAGGTTTGCTAGGTTTGGCCTTGGTAAATTCCTGCTAGTTTTTCCATCACCTTCTCGTTCATATGCATGATACAGCTTCCAGGGGAATTTACTTCATCATCCTTGCAGGGACTGAGATTAGATTTACCAACCCAACCGAGTGCTCCTCCTTGAAGGAAGACTCTGGTAATCAGAAGCCTTGATCACTTGCTATGATCCTTTAAATGGCTGGTCAGCCTCACAGCAACATAGGCTATCTCCCTCAACACTGGTCAAGTGCTTCCCATTTTTTCCTAGGCATTATATGCATGCCATTTTCCTAGGTATGTAACCTAAAAGGCTGAAGCAAAGACAGACTGAACTCTGCCAAATAAGCTCAGGAGCCTGGGAGGCCCCAGGGGAAAATTTACCAGTGGAAGATGAATGCTGTGAGTACACTTGATATGATTTAACCCCAAGTGGCAACTAAGCCCCACACAGCTGTTTGCCCATCCCAGTGGGATGGGGGATAGAATTAGAAGAATAAAAGTCAAAAAAACTCACGGGTTGAAATAGCAACAATTTAACAGCACACACACAAGCAAAGCAAATCAAAGAATTCATTCCAAACTTCCCATGGGCAGGCAAGGGTTCAGCCAAGGAAGCAGAGCCCTGCAAGAATAGTATGGAAGATCTTTGTGTGTTAACACTTTAGCAGCTGAATAAATGTGACAGACTACTCTTGAGAAAATTCAGGGGAGATGGTGTTCCTTAGTGTCTCTGTGTAAATAACAAGTTACAGACAAAATAGTGGCTAAAACTGCCAATTTTAAAGATATGATTGTTCTGCCTAATTTTACAGGTAACTGTGGAAATTATCAGAAACATTAGGGAAAAAAACTGATCTTCTATTAGAAAATACCTCCTTGGTAACAGTCTGAAGGTTTTGTTACTCTTTTTATTCCTCAGTCTAGACTTGTAAGAGGACACCAAAAGTCGGGTTTATTCTCAGCATACAACAGTGGCCAAAAACGTATTGTCCTATACATCAAGTTTTTACATATATATGAAGTACTGCAGAATAGCAGCAACAATGTCTTTTTTCATTAACTCATACTAAATTATTCAGAATGAATAAAAGTAGCACTACTTTAAACTGAAATATCGCTTCAAACTGTTTATGACTTAAATCTCCTGGAAGGTTTGTGCTCGTTTTTGTGTATACTGATACAGTATCAAGTCCCGGATTGGAAAAACATCCAATTGGAAGTTTTTACACAGTACTTGTTCCAGAGGAGGAGTAATTATAGGAGCAGTAGCTGCTTGCTTTCTTTGTGTAGTAGTCCATGATATCTGTTCACAATGGATATACATATAACATATTGCTTGGAGAGAGACCACGTTTACCTTTTTTTTTCTTAAATCAAGTATAGAACAGGCATTTATACCTCACCCTGAGTGTGGTTCTCAGCAAGTGGGCTGATGGAGAGGAGCATGCCTCTGAGAGCACTGTTTGCATATAAATTTTCATCTGTTTAACTAATTGCTCTATGTCTTTGTCTCCAGTATCTTCTTTAAGTAACCTTGAGTCCTTCTATGACTTAGGAAAGGTGAATTCTGTCTAAACCATGTACATGATGTCTTTACAGCTGTAGGAGACATGTTTCTGATAAGTTATTAGTTTATCATTCTTTGAACTTAGTATGTGAAATCCTCAGGAGTTTAAATGGCAAAATTCTTAAAGGTGATGAAACTGTGTTTTGTTATCATGATTATGGACTTGGGCCACCTTGCAACAGTGCCCTTATGCTCTTTGGCTGTTCTCTAACTATGTTCACCTTGAATGGATGGAGACTCTCTGACACTACTTGCTGTAGGAAACGTGGCTGATCTGATGACAAAGGCGGCTGTTCTCAACATATTCTTCTTCCTGCTTTGGCATCAGTTCAGCCTTCCGTAGCAGCACCATCTCTTTGCCCTTGGGGTGAGCCTGAAGCACTGCCTTGTCCACAACAATCATACCTTACATCAGCCCCAGAACTATCAGTTTTACCACTTCTTTATGGATTAGTAATCACCCTGGTGCCCTTAAACATTTCACTGCTGTTCCTGAGAATGTTGTAGTCAGTATGATAGGTTGGCACTAAGATTCTCCATCAGTATTTCTGACATAGCACTATTCAGTACCACCACTGTTCAGTACTTAGCACTATTTAGATACTGATGTAGATGAAAGGACCTCTTTTTCAGGTGCCAACTACTGGAAATAAATAATGAAAGCTCATAAAATTGTAATGTTATTTAAGTCTTTTTTTCGGCTTAAAGCTCTGTCAGCTTACTTAAACCTAAGTGAAAATAGAGTCTTTTGGTTGAGGTGACTTCACAGAAGAGAGTTATAATTAAATTGCAAATATGTGTACATAGGGTAAATACTTACCTTTAAATTCGTGTTAAAGTGTTCTTTTTAATACCTCTTATAGCTGGCAACCGTACAACAATCCCTCAACTTGTTGCAAAAAGATAAAGATTATCTTAATCGCCAGAACATGGAGCTTAGTGTTCGCTGTGCACATGAGGAAGATCGTCTTGAGAGACTACAGATTCAGCTAGAAGATGCCAAAAAAGCTAGGGAAGAAATGTATGAAAAATATGTGGCATCCAGGCAAGTTATTGTCTGTTCATTTCTATCAGTAGATAGGTTATTTAACTGTTTTCCCTTGTTCCTTGCACAAATGCCATTTAATTAATTTTCTTTTTCAGAAGGCTAACCCGCATTTATGTAACTAGAAGCAGAACACTTTTCTTGGGCATAATATGTATCACAAACACTTTTTTAAAGCCTTTATAAGACCATAGTAGTGGAAGTAAGCTTTCACCATTAGGAGTTGACAGCAATTATTCTTGTAGGTTTACTCAGTTAATTATAAAACAAACGTTTTGTTTTCAATGTATATCCATAAATCTTGTGTCCTGTATAACTAAAAAGTGTGCTAATATGACTCTCCTGATAGATAACTAAAACAAAAATTGTTACCTAAATGAAAATAGAAGGGCATTCTTGAAATGATCAGTTATGGAGCTCCAGCCCATATCAGAAGAGTTTTAAATATTATTTTTCCTTTCAGTGCATTCACTCAAAAATGTTTAAATTTGTTTTGCATGTTTGTATCTCAGAATTATGTTCTCCCTGAATTTCTGTATTTTAAGCAAAATGTTGAGTCTTACTTTAAAATGGTGTTTTAAGAAATCATGTTCTTTTTGGATTTTTTATGATAAACCCCTTTATTTTGTAAAAGGTCTTCTTACAGTATTTGCTATAGTGTGGCACAGTTGAAGAAGAAATAAGTTTACTTTTATCTTGGAAGGTCGACCAAAATACAGTGTCTCAATAAAAAGAAAACCTGGAAAGTTTTCTTTATACAAGGAAAAAGAAATAAAATAAAAGGAAAACCTGGACAGAAATTATTTTCCATTTTAATATTTTGAGGTTTTTAGGTAATGTGAGGGAGTTTTTGACCAGCTCAAGTACTGATTTCTAAGAATTACAGGCTATCACATGATTGGAAATGAAATTAAATCTAAAACCTTTTACAGTTGTAAATGCACATATCTTCATAATATGCTTTTATTTCCAAACATGTGATTTTTACCAGTTTCTTCACTGCTGATTGATTATTATTGAACATTAATGCTATAAAATTTTGACATTCCTTAGCTGTTAAGTGCTTACAACATAACCCTATTTTTGTAGGAGAGATTCTTTATGAAATTCCTTACAATCTGTCACGAGCTTCAAAAATTACAAAAAAAGTCAATGTTTCTCTGAAATGAAATTATTTTATCTTGATATCTTCTGATATCTGTTGCATAAAAGCTTTGTGTTTTAAATAATTTATATGTTATATTGACAGGATAAATTCCCAAATCTTGGGGTTTTTTGACTTCACAAATCTCCATTTAATCTTCAATGTTTCTTGTGATGTTTTTTCCCTCGTATGAGGTGCAGATAGTACACAAAGAAGTAGTGGTATGGCAGTATTGCAAGTCAATAAATGAATCAATCCTTATCCAGTGATGAAGAAAGTGAGAAGTGGTTACTTAATATATGCACTCGAGTAGAGGCTGACAGAGAAGTTCTGGAAGAATGTTAATATTATGTAATTAATCAGTATTAAATTACTTTAAAAAGTTTAAATCTGCATGCAAAAAAACTTCTGTTTATTCTCAGTTAAATATTATTTATTCCTGGTTGAGTTTCATTTAGTTTATGTAGCAACTTAGGCTGATCAGTGTTTGAAGTCATTGAGAGGTAAATGAGTAAAGATGGAAATAAAATCTAAGATCAAGAAGAACTCTGCTCTTGCAAAGCTGTACCTGAAGTTTTGGTATTTTGACTAGTGCAATATATTTGTTTATTTACAGAGACCACTATAAAGCAGAATATGAAAAGAGACTCCATGAAGAGTTGGAACAAATAAGGCTGAAAACAAATCAAGAAATTGAGCAACTAAGAAACACCTCAAAAGAGATGTATGAACGTGAAAACAGGTAGGTAAGGTGTAGGCAGTAACCTAACAGGGACAGAAATGACCAAGCACTGTTTTGTGCTTAGGTATAATCCTTGCTGACTGACTCTTTGAGAGCTGTTCGAAATGTAAGAATTCAGTTGTAAAACTGATGGGAATCTCGTAAAAACTAAAATGAAATTATACTTGTACAGTAAGTGTATGTTGTTACATTTATTATTAAATGATGGACAGCCGACATTATCACCTGAAAAGGATTATTAAAATTCATGTTCTTCATGAACTTTGGCAATCTGAAGTTTGTTCAGGTGTATAGTATTATATATAGTATTGTATAGGATGACAGTTTACCTGTCATGCTCTAGGTGCAATCTTGAAACTGTTCTGGGAATCCAGAAAATAAGATGTTAATACAGAAAATCAGACAGAAAAAACCCAAAAGAGACAAGACTTAGGCCTGTATGAAATAAATCTACTTGAGTTTTTTTAGAGCACTGTGATTCAGAAAAAAGGATTGATTTCCTGTAAATTATTGTAAAATTCTCTTTTGAAGAAGATAGTAGTCCTGCAAAGACTTGCATGATGAGTTTGTATGTGTGCCATCTAGTTGAATACCAAGGAATTACATGCACATGCATAAGCCTTTTAGGGACTTAGAGATTTGGACCTTTGGCACCGAATTCCTTTTTTAACTTGTTTTTTCCCATTTTATTGCTTTAAAATGGGAGGAGTGCTTAATAACTTAACTTCACTGTAGATGTGAAAGTGTTGTGTGGAGAAGGAAATTATGGTAGTAAAAAGATATTTGTGGCATCAGCATCTGTTCCTCTAATAGGTAGTTTTATTTCTGCCAGGAAGAGTGGAAAAAGAACATGACTTCTGCTGTCTTTTAGTCAACTGAAAGGTTCTAATTAAAAAACAATTACATCATTGTGTAGTTTTGCAAGTGTGAGTAAAATGCATGCACACACATATACATCTACACCACTTCCTGTATGCAAATCTATTTTGAATTACAAAGTATGAATTTAAACATGCACTCCTTGTGGAGATTTGACAAGAGTCTGTATCATTGAGAAAGCTACTGAGAGATACTTCATTTGTATCTGGAACTGCTTTACAGAAGTTTTGTTCCTCATTTTGAAATAATTACTTCTGAAATGCAAATCCCTTAGATTTGCCTACATGTTTGGCAAAAACAAAATTTAAAAAGACTTTCAAGCATATGTTCTTTCTATAAAATACTGAAAAATCCACCATAAGGCAGTCTGCCTCAATGGTAAGACAAATGAAATCTCAAATTGTGAGCAAAACAATTTGCAGTAAATTTGTGTAATGTGATGAGATGCTGTTGTGGCTGAAAATGAAGTTAAGATGCTGGTTTCATCTTCCTGCTCAAAGCATGGAATGATATTACAGCTAAGCTAATCCAATATTCCGTTGCTGGTATTCTTTTCCACTTTGCCAAGCCTGATGTGCCTGATCGTTCCTTTGAATTTACTGGCACTTATTATACACTTAGATGAAACTAAAATGGGAGGGGACCACTGAAAAAAAGGTGATGATTTCATGCCTAATTTTTTTGGCATCAGTTTCACCTGTATGATTGTTGTAAGCACGGGCTATGTTTGCATTAGCAAGCGTGACTGAATTCACAGGACATGTGAATGTCTGCAAGAAGTTTGACACTGGATTACCTGTAGTCTGTTCCCATAAGTGAAACACAATTTAGAGAAGTTGAGCATGTGAGATGATTTCACTGAGCACCTTTTCTGACATGAGCAAATCTGACTGGATTCCAGTTTTTGCATTCTAGAACAGTTTGAGAGTGTGACAAAGTGCAGTAAATGGCAGTTGCCAAGAGGTTTGTTTGAAAACCTAATAAAGATGCCCATGAGCTGCTGCCTCCCGTCCCCATCCCACCTTTTTTTCCCCCCATGCCCGTTCTTGATCCTCCAGATAGTATTTCTGTCCCATTTCAGAAGGTTACTTTTCAATTGTGTGATAGGTTGGCTAGATGCCTCATAAGGCCCCAATATGCAGCCGTTTGGGTAGGTGCTTCACCTCCTTGAAATGACGGTCACACAACTGACAACTGCCAGTGGCACTGGTGTGTCTCCTGGCTCTCTAAAGAGTATTTCAACAGAAGTTGCATCACATCTGTGCTTGTGGTCATGTTAGTTGAATAGTACCTCACTTGTGTCTTTTTTTCCTCCTATTGCATTTGAAGTTGATTAATTGTTCAGCTAAGCAAAATAGTTCATTTTCTAAGTGAGTTTCTGTATCTCTCCTACTGTTTAATTTTTATCCCACTTCCACTACTCTGGTCTTAAGGATACAGCTCTGGACTGTATAATATGCTTGATCTTAATGCTATAATGTATTGCCATGTTCCCATGTTTTCATGAGAGTCACTTTTAAAGAATCTATTCTTAAGGTGAGTCCCTGAATTTCTGTGCTAAATTCTGTAGGGTAGTAAGTAACTCAATTTTTAAAGAAAATGTTGGTGCCTTTCTCTAATAGCCAGTTAACTACTACATAATTCTGATGTTAATTTTTTCTAAGTAAATGTTTGCTGTTCATATGAATTACTTTGAATTCAGAAAAGTGCCACTGATAACATTTATTTTAGGAAATAGTCTTGAAACCAAAAATTATATACCTTTAGTGTGATACAATGACCTAGGTTAACATTTACATGAGTGTAGTAATTTTCTGTTTTCCTTTGTATCCTGACTTTTCACTTCTCTTCAAAACTTGCCTGAGACTTTAATTTCACTTTGCCTTTAGTCAGAAAGTTGATGTAGGGAGAGGGAAAAAAAACAACTTCAGTAGGAAGATCTTGGTTGCATCCACATTAGCAGTTCAGTTCAGATGAAGAATATGGCGTTGAAGTGAAATCCCGTAGTCATTGCTGCTAGCCATGGTTTTAGCTTGCCTTGCAACTGTGCTTGGATCTGCTCACATTTGTAGCATATGAATAGGATTCCTTTTAGATAAAACAAAATTGAAAGGAATCTTTAAGATCATCTAATGTGTTCCAAATGCTGGTTCATCATAGAATCAAACCCGCAGTAGAGTAAAATCCTTAAAAACAGTCATAACACAGATGTCTGATTCCTATCAACCACTGTTAGATCGGGCAAATTGGCTGGTGCTGTGTTACACTAAATATTGGGCATTGAGTTTATATACAGTCTCTAAGCAGTGCTTCCCCTCAGTACAGTCTACTGCAGTGTTAATCTGTAGCCTGCTGGCCACATAACAGACTATTAATGACTAATTCCAATTTTTAAACACAAATACCATATGTTTTATTCTTAATATCATGCTGTTCTCATTTGTGTTGGTGAAATAATAATTGAGGTAGTTTGAACATTGTGACCGAACCTTGGTTATAAAAAGAACTATCAATTGATTGTAATAAAACGTTAATCTATGTTTCTTTGCAGATCAAAAATATTGCCAGCAATAAAACCCAAAAGGAGATACCAATGATATGCAATAACCTATACATCGCAGTAACTAGACTATTAGTTGTATGTGGAAGTAGGATTTCTATGCTTAGCTAAACTTTTCTTGCTCTATCAAAAGTTGTGAATCATCTCAGCTAAATAGACAGCATTCCTGCAGTTATTCCCAAAGCACCAAGGAAAATAATTGGAATTTATTTAATTCCTGCAAAAAATTAAATCATTTTTAGTACTAGTATTCTAGAATAATTAGAGTTATAGGTTTCCACGTGATTTGATAATTGTTTTTTACAATTTCAGAACTGGAAGGTTTGCTGGTATCTATGAAAATAACCTGAAGTAAAGCCTCTGTTATAAGTAGGTGAATGGATAGATCCTTCTGTCATTCTATGAGAGTTGAAGAAGGTAGCATTGAAGTTCAGATCAGAGAGCAGTAATTAATGAAGCAAAGCAGTCTTGTTTCTAACATATTCTTAACAGAATAATTTTTGTTTCCTTCAGAAATTTGAGAGAAGCAAGAGATAATGCTGTTGCTGAAAAAGAGAGAGCAGTTATTGCTGAAAAGGATTCTTTAAGAAAATACGATCAACTCTTAGAACAGTAAGTGTTTTAAAAATACATATAAAAAACTAAAGGTATAAGAGTGTTTATATCTAGAAGGTGTAAGTAGGAGGAATTACTAGCTTTCTGCTTACAAAGAACAAATTGAATTACAAACTTTGTTTAAATGAAGTTGCAGAATTAATTCTGCTAGTAAATTCTTTCCGTTATCAATGCAGTAATAAGATGAAAGCTTGGTATTTTTCCTACCATACTGTAGAGACAAACAAACATTCATTTCATAGCAAGAATGTGGATTTTATACTGTACAATAGCAGTGGTCAAACTCTGAACCTGTTTGTGAGGTTTTTTTCTTTAGTTGAAAGTAGAAAATCATCTTTTAAGATGACTTCAATTAATAGTTTTTATGAAGTTTGTATAGAGAGCAGAAGTCATGAACAGTTATGTTTGCTACATGTTTCTCTTCTTACTGCTGTCTCTTCTCATTCTTTCATACTCTATATGTAAAATGTATTGTCTATACCAATGTACAGTTCCATTCAACAGAGACAGAAGTAATGGTTGATTTTTTGCCTGTTTACAAGCAGTCTTACTTTATGTTCCGTAACACCTTTTCCTTACTTTTTGTCAATTTAGAAAATACACTGTGGTAAACTATGAGGCAATATAAAACTAAGGACAGTAATCAAAGTTGTTCAGGTTAAGTTTGTCATGTGTCTTTAATTTTGGATTTAATTAATTGTTTAATACAAATATTTTTTTCTAAAATGAAGAGATCAGTTCATTAAGTGACTGTGCTACCTAGTCATCTACGCAAAGGAAGCACTAGATGAGCCTTCTTTTCTCTAAATAATTTCTAATTGCAGTTAAAATGTTGTTAACTTAAGCATAGGAACAAATTTATTAAAGCTTTTAATTTTTATGTATAACTCCTAAATTGCAGTGGTGCTACTACTGAAGAAATAGCATTTTCTAAGAATTGAAAAAGTTTATTTTTTATTTGGTGATGTGAAACAATAGGGGTAGGTCTAGAGCAAATGAGATGGGTCAGAGGAACTTGATATCCACAGTGAGTTTAAGGGGCTTGATTTCAGATTAATTCTAGTTCAGCTGAATGAGCCCAAGGATGCTGAATGCCTTTTAGTGGTTAGAGCACATTGGAGGAGTTGTTGGGTTGTCAGTAGGAATTCAGTTTGCAAACTCTGAGATGATATTTTCACAGTGCAGAAATCAAAGCTGTTTGAGTAGGGAGGACCAGGAAACTTGGGTCAAAACTGATCTCTAAAATAAAATGCTAATGCGAGTTAACACAGATTTCTTTCTAATGAGACTCCTGCCTTTCCCTGTGGTAAGATTTATTGAGACATAGGGATTTCACATATAACTAGAAACTCATCTTGAAAATCAGTCTCGCATGTCATAATTTTGCACTTTTAATTAATAAAAATACTGACTTTGCAATTCTTCTATATTTATTTTTAAACTTAACAGCTGCGAAGAAAATGCTTTTCTGTCCAGCTGTATTCCCACTCATATAATGTGTTCTTTTTTCATCGTGTTGCTCTATTTTGAGGAGGGATGTTCCACTGCGATTAGAAACATAAGAATCTTACTTGATGCACTTACGCTTCTGTGCTCTTACAGCTTTTTCTAGTGATAAGCCTTCCAATTAAGTAAAACTCTCCTTCTGTTAGATAAATCAATAAGTTGATTAGGGCTGGGTTTTTGAGTTCTAAGAAGTAAATTGTTCCTCGGAAGATTATTTTCTGCTTGGGAAGATGGAAAACCCATACTAGTCTTTTTGGAAATGTAGATGTCTCTCTTTAAAAGTACCTCACTTCTAACCATGTAACAGATGTCAAGACCGTGACTTTCTCCACATTCCAAATTATCTACCTAAGTGAACTGCAAAGTAACTAACTGGCATATTGAGATGGTATAAATACCTTAACTTGAAAGACCTCAAATTCTGAATTTACTGTGGACTCACATGTGACAGATCTGTGGAACAAAGAAATTTCCTAATACCTCTAGAAACTCCTAAGATGAAAAAGGAATACCTGTGTTGTCCAGTTCTGTATTTAAGTGATCATAACAGCTTGTTCTACTTTAGTAAAGACAAGGTGAGTCATCATAGTTACCACTGGTATCATAATCTCTATAAACAAACATGTTTGAAAGCTTCATAAGTATGTGGAATGTTGACTGGCCTGAATGGTGGTTAAATAAAGCCCCTGGCAAATCTTGTGATCAGAAGTGTAACTAATACCCAATTTTCTAGTCAAGTGCAGTTGTTTTCATGTTTTTTACTCATGTTTGTGATCGTTTGCTGTGAATAGCTATTTACAAATGCCAAGAAAATATCAAAGTGATAATATTAATAAAAGAGTTATATTGATAAAGGATCTGTTGTTTCATTCTTAAAGTAGATCACTGTAATGTCAGGATGTAAGTTTTGTTGCTCTCTTTGCCATTATACAGTTTTAATTTCAGTCTGATAATCCGTACTTCATTTGCATATTTCATTATGACAATGACAAAAAACATAAAATATTTATATTGGATTAAACTATTGTCAATGTCACACATGTTCTAAAAAAATATATAACCAAAGGGAAACATTTTCACTTGTTAGGACTTTTTTTCCAATTTCAAAGCTGTATTACCTCAATTGATCTTGTCTGAGGTTAGAATGAGGAAGCAATTACATAAAAGCTCCATCATCTGCACAGCTCAGTGTAAATGCTAAATATGTTCCAGCTTTTCCTTTTTTTGAATAGTCCTGGAGTGTTACTTTCACCTGCTGACTGTTAATCTGTTACTTCTTCTTGCTGAAAAAAAAAATCTAACTCATCCAAACACCATTACAAAAAACCCCAAACAAAACAAGACAAACAAACAAAAAACAAACAAAAACAACAACAACAAAAAAGTAGACGTTTATTGTGGTTTGCTATTGGGTTTTTTGCTGATGGTTAAATTTTCTAGTTTCCTATAAGATTCAAACTTGAATGGTTCCTTTTCTTAAAGTAGGCTCAGAGGTCTAATATGGAGTGAATTCATACTAGAGCACTTCTACAAGAGCTGTCTCTTGCCTTTGATTGTTGACTTCATTTAAATTTCCTCTAAAAGAAGTATAATATCTTTTTCCAAGACTCAGCTATATCAGTGGAAATTCGTTTAATAATTCTAGAATTATTGGGAATGATGCAAGGGAAATTCATACAAAACCTTTTTTTCTTAGTGACAAAAAAAATTATACTCTTTAACAGCCAGTTGCTGCTCACATGATGTACTTGAGGTGATTTTTCTTTTCCTGTCTTTATAATGATAAAGGGAGAAATGCAGAATAATGAAGAGAAACAAGCTAGGTATGCAGCAAACAGAAGACAAGTATTCAAGGAAATTGTGTTATGGCAATGCTGAATTCCTTCAATTTTGCGGTGGACACTTCATAAAAATCCTCAGTTTTGGAAAAGCTAGTGAGAGGTGTAATTTCCTGCCTCTGTCCATTAGGTAATAGGATGTTTTAAAGTACGTACTTATTTTTTCTTATTTCAATATGCACAGATGTGCAGATGATGAATTTTAAACCATGTTTCTGTTGTTGTGTTAAGCCAGGGTGATGACTACAGAAATTGTTTAGAGCCTTAGGTTTGTTCCATAAAGATTTCAAAGTATTTTGTATTATTATTATTTAAACATTTCTGGATTGATGTACATAGCTCAGTTTTCTAAAATTATTAAATTTATAATGGATGATCTGCTACAGGTAAAAATACCTTTAAGAGTATTTCTAGTGTTTCTGTTTAGAAATGCTTTTCTCAAATTAAAAACAGAATAAAGGTCATTGCGATTTCTTTTCATTTTTCTCTGCTTCCTAGCTTAAGGAAAGTATGCAAAAAGTTGTCTGCATGTTTGCGTTTACAAATGTATTGCTTTTCTTTCCAGTCAGCTGCAAGCTGACTCTACAACTGAGAGACTTATTTTAGTCTTGCCATAGTCTTTTTAATTTGAATTTATTTTATCGCTTTTTTGTTTTCTTCATAATTGTGGTACATTTTAGAATCCATCTGGAGTGAGATTGATGCTATCTGATATTAAGATATTAAGCTGTCTTAAACTTGTTAGGTGATGGAGAGAGGGGATCAATTCTGTTTATCAAATGGGTTTTTTAATTAGATGAAATTAAGATCCCTAGATCTTGTTTTTAATTGCACACAAGCTTAGAGGACTATCTTAGGTGAGAAGATAATTGGATAAATTTACTGAATAAATAAATGTTAGAATGCATTTAGAATCTCTGTGTAGCATACAGGAATCTCATAATTAGATTTTCATTTATTATATTATGCTTTCATTGTTAACAGAAACATTAAAACTAATTATTTTCCTCTTCTGTTAGCATATTTTTATAATCTGGATATTGCTGACTGCAGTGAGAGGATTCTAATATTAAAATTATTAACTCAATGTGTATGCTGGAGTTACTACTAATATTTAAATAGGGGCATATTATCTCTTCAAGAATATTTGTATCAAATGAAGGTTTCAATAACAAATTTTTAAAAGTCCGTACTGAAAACTGCTGGCCAAATTACTTCTTGGGCAAAGCTGCCATCACCGTGTGATAAAAACTTCTGTCAGAACTTTAAACTCCCTACACATGGCTGCTACGTTTGTATATGAAATACTTTGTAATCCCTTGAATTGAAGAGCTATGTAGGTCTTGAGAATCACTACCCCTTTAAATCTTCAGTTTCAATTGACTTTGTTAGTGCTTTCCAAAATGGTTTTTTGGTAATAATAATTTGCTGCTACTGTATTCGTTTAAGACTTCTCTTGTATGATGTGTATGCCTCATTTTTTAACACTTAGAATTTATATCAGAATAAAGCCAAGCTCTTCAATGGCATTATTAGCCCTTGTTTAGATTTCAGCCTTAGCCAAAGTAACTACTGTACATTACCCATAAAACTACCTTCATCTTTTTGTCCTGATGAGAAAGTTAAATACAAGGTACAAGTAAAAGAGTACAA